CATTATTTTTCACTTGGACTACGCAATGATTTCTCAACTAGTCTCTCATTTATTGCTTCTTTCCAATTCCACAGACTTGATATTAAGATTTTCAATTATGTCACTCCCCTACTTAAATTCTTCAAAAGCTTTCAAATTTAATATAAAAAAAATCCAAACTAGAGCTAGGTACAGTGGTGCACATCTGCAAACCCCAGACACTCAGAAAGCTGAGGCAGGAGGATCACAGTTTGATACCCTTCTGGGCAACTTAGTCCCTGTTTCAAAAAAAAAAACAAAACAAACTAGAGAGTGACCACAAGCAAAACTCAACCAAGTATTATTGGATCAATGAGTAAATGTAGATAGTTCAACAAGGCTTAGTTTTAAATTCTGTTTTTAGTTTATATTTACTCCCTCAAAGGAGGTGCCCTCTTGCAGCTAAAAATTGATGATTTTTAAATTAGAACCTCTTTTCCTAAGCTACCCTACCACTAGTCCCAGATGTCATTTATAAATTTTCCCTTTATTATTTTTTTAATTACCACTTCAAAGTTTAATGAAAAATAGCAAGACACAGGACAGTATATTGTATGCTTTTATTTAAGGGAGAATCTATGTATGATTGTGTGCATTTCTGTTTACATGTTCAAACTTCAAGGAAAAGAGATATGTGTGTATATACATATACAACACACACACAAACTCAAGTGGTAATACTGGTGGCTTGCAGTTTTTTGAGATAAAGTCTCCCTAAATTGTCCAGGCTGACCTCAAACTTGTTAGCCACTGCGATTATAGGTGTGTACCCAGCATGTGGGTGGCCTTTAACAAAGAAATTATATGGATAGAGGAGATTTTCTTATATACATTTTGAAGCCTCAACAACTGAAGAGGCTTAGTCAGGAGAATAACAAGTTGGTGGGCAGCCTCAGCAATTTAGCAAGGACCTACACAAATTAATAAGACCCTGTCTCAAAAAGTAAAAAAGGAGTGGGGATATAGCTTAGTGGTAAAGCACCCCTCAGTTCAATCCCCAGTACCTTCCTCCCTCCAGAAAAAAATTTTTAATTTTAACCATGTATTACATAGTCAAAATAGTTCCCCCCTTCCAAACAAACAAGCCTCAAAATGAATAATTAATGTAAGCCTGCTCAACTTCCCATTTTCTTCCAATTTTTCTGGTCCCAAAGACTCAAACACAAGATAGAATCAAATTCTATCTTGTTCATATTAAAAAATTCACCAAATCTTCTAGCACTTTAAGGAAAATATACTGGATCTCTATCCCCTTTTTTTCATAAATCATACTTTCATGTATTTTAATTACTGCAAAAGGTCTTGCTACCAAAACCTCTTCTGCTCTGCCTACCCATTTTATTATTCACAACATTATCACACTGTTTTCCTTAAACACAGTATTATTTTCATTATCTTATGCTCTTAGAAGAACCTATAGTGGCTAGGTATGGCACAATACATCTGTAACACCAGCTATTCAGTATGTGAAAATGAGTCAAGTTCAAGGCCTGTTTGGGCAACTTAGGGAGACCTTCTGTGGGAGGGAGAGGGGAGGTTGGGGATGTAGGTCAGTTATACAGCACTCCTGGGGTCAATTCCCAAATCACAGCAGCAGCAACAACAAACCCCAGCCCAATGGTTGCCCCCTGCCCCTCAAAGCAAACTAAGCTCTCAAAAAACTTATGCCTTTTATAGCAGGTGCTCTAATTCCTTCCATCACAGTTCCTTCAGCAATAACCACCATTAAGACTGAAATTTTTCTGATTCTAGCTTATATCAATCCATCCCATCTCTAATTTTCTACTGCCCAAAGCTATAAAATATAAGTTTACTGTTTATAACATTTTATGTTGACACATACCTGTTATACAACCCTAGTTAAGACTCAACCTTTCTGTACATTAGCTGCCTCTCCATGAAATCTTTTTGAGGGATGGGTTAAAATATTTTACTAGCAATATTATCATCATTCTGCAATTGTTTCATTTTTGATATTTGCCAATAAAACTGAGGTGAGGATTTCCTTCTACCCCCTTCCTAACCCTAACACACAACTATGTTAAATATAATAAGTAAACTTACATTCTTATGACTCTGCTTTCCATTTTGACAAGATCAGTGGAACTGATTTCAAATAACTTAAAAATTTTGACACACATCAGGCACTTTTTTTTCATGCTGTATTATATAATCATTCTTTCCCCAATGTGTTTAAAAACACAACAAAGTACATTCCCTTCTCATTAACTTCTTCAGTATTACACACAGTAAGGAAGAAAGCAATGAGAATGATATTCAGTATTTGACATTCAACAACCTGAATTTATTTAATATGTTTAAATGTAGCAAATCTCCTACAAATACTCCATTCACTCACTAAGTTTTTAATTAGAACTCCCTAATGAATAATCCACTTTATGTAAATTTTGGAAATACTTTTCTAGATTAAATTACTGAAAAACTCAAAGGATGACGTTTAAAAATTAATTTTCATGAATAAAAAATACTAATGTATTTGGAAATCTCAATTTGTATACTTGTAAAAAATGCAAACCAAATTTAAGATTTTGGTGAAAATACGAGAAACCACATCTACTACAACGAAACTAAATTTAACACTTAATTCTTTTAGTAAAGTGCATTTGATTTAAGTAAAAATAAAGAAAATAAAAAACCAGGTTACTCCACTTGCAGGTTTTTCATTCCTATACAAAGTTTTTCCATACCAAAGAATTCCCTGATGAATTTTAATGTTATATAGTAAAAGCAAACTACAAAGCAAAACAAAATAAAAACTAGCATTGAGAGGTGGTGTGCTCCTGTAACCCTAGCAACGCAGGAGGCTGAGGCAGGAAGATCGCAAGTTTGAGGCCAGCCTCAGCAACCTAGTAAGACCCTGTCTCAAAATAAAAAATAAAAAGGGCTAAGGATGTGGCTCAGTGGTTTAGTACCTCAAAGTTCAATCCACAGTACCAAAAAATTGTGGGGAGGGGAGAAGGGTTTGAGATATACAGCTCAGTGGTAACATGTGTGAAGATCTGTGGAAAAAAAATGCTCAAGATATGGTAAACATGTTCATGTATTCATGACAAATGTTTAATTTGATTTGTCACCAAAAAAAGATATATGACATTTTCTAAGTAGAGGAAAAAGCTATTAATTGAATACTAAGAATTTTAAAATATTTTGAAGAACTAATTATATATGAAAGTTTTTAACAGTAAAACTTTTCATTAGTTGTGCAACAGACATAATTTTAGTCCCTTTACTGTTAAGTATTTGTTTCTGGGAATCCACATTTTCAGATATCTTGAAGAAAGTACTTGATGCTGTAAATGTAATTCTAAAATAATTTCTCTTTTCCTTAAAAAAATAAATCTCTGCCATAATAATTTTATATACTATACATGCAAAATGAAAATAATCTAAATGTTTGGTGGGTGTATATCACATATTAGAATTCAATAGTGTGGGCTGGGGTTGTGGCTCAGTGGTAGAGTGCTTGCCTGGCCATGTATGAGGCATTAGGTTTGATTCTCAGCACCACATATAAATAAATAAAATAAAGGTCTACCAACAACTAAACAAAAACCAAACAAACAAAAGAACACAATAGTGTCTTAAAAAAAAAAAACCCAAATATATCTACATTACTAACACATAGAAATCTTCAAAATAAATGAGTGGAAAAAAAAATGCAAGTTGCAGAGTACATGTAAGAATATATGACAATTGTATAAAGTTAAAAAAAAACATAGAAGGGGCTGGGGATGTGGCTCAAGCGGTAGCACGCTCGCCTGGCATGCGTGCGGCCCGGGTTCGATCCTCAGCACCACATACAAACAAAGATGTTGTGTCCACCGAAAACTAAGAAAAAATAAATAAATATTAAAAAAAAAACATAGAAGACTACATACAATCTTTGGATATGTATATATACAGAAAAGGTATAAAATCATCTACAAAAAAGAATATACATCAACTTTAGAATAGGGTTATCTACAGGGAAGTAGAGAATGGATAGAATGGGATGGACACAAAGTGGGCTTTAACTCTACCCATAATGTTGAACATTATAAAAAGATTTGAAACAGATATGGCCTATCTTTTTTAAACTGGGAATTGAACCCAGGGGTACTTTTTCACTAAGATACAATCTCAGCCCCCACCCCCCCTTTTTTAATTTTCTACATCACATAGGGCCTCATTAAATTGATGAGGCTGGCAACTTTCCTGGCCTCAGCCTTCTAAGTTGCTGGGATTACAGAGTATGTCCCATTATGCCTGGCAAATATGGCATAATGTTAACATTATTAAATCTAGTGGTGTTACAGATATCCATTATAATATTCTCTTTACTTTCCAATTATGATACATTTCTCATAATAAAAATTAAACACATTCACACAAAAAACTTTAATCACTGCTACCATTTTCAGATTAAATAATTAGGCACCTTAAAACACAGCACAAGTTTTCTTTCCCAAAATAAGACAATAAATGTACATGGGAAATCTATAAAACTGGCAATGTACATGCCCATACAGTACCCACTGATTATTAAAAATATACAACAATCAGAGATCAGTACTTACATGCTTCTACTTCAAAAACTTTTACCTGAGTTAAAAGATTTAATTCCCACTAGAAACAGACTTCCCTTCAAATTTTCTTTTATGCTATTTCCTTCAATCAAAGTGATTCTGAATAAAAGGTTTAGTGTACCAGGTATAAGAGAGATCCAGCTTACTGCAGTTAAGTCTAATGAATACATTGTATACTAATATTAACAAAACAGTGGCTCAATTTAATAATTAAATTATTGACAGTACAAAAACCTCCAATTTTCAGTATGAACCTGTCAACATGGAAGGGAATCACACATGGTCTCTTTGTTTACGGAACATTTTTCCTTGTCAGGAAAGCATTCCCATCTTTGTCAGATTAATATTTCCTTGGTGACAGATGAAGTCTTTCAAATTAAAAAAACAACTACTTGCCTGTTGTTTCTGATATGCAGTGTTTGGATTTATCTTTGATTCTAAGAGTAGTGATCCTGAAAGATAAAAAATAAGTCTCAAATTATAAAACTGTGAATAAAAAACTAACACATTAAAACATTAATAACAACAAGCAGGACACTGTGGTGCAGGCCTGTAATTCCAGCGGCTAGGGAGGCTGAGACTGGAGGATCTCAAGCCAGCCTCAACAAAAGCAAGGTGCTAAGCAACTCATTGAAACCCTGTCTCTAAATAAAATACAAAATAGGGCTGGGGATGTGGCTCGGTGGTTGAGTGCCCCTGAGTACAACCCCCCCCCAAAGAAACCAACTAAACAAATAAAAAAAAATTAACAACAAAAAAATCTTTTCAGGGCAGAGGTTGCAGGCAAGTGGTACAGCACTTGCCTAATATGAGCAAGGCCCCGTGTTTAATCCCTAGTACTACATAAAACACAAAAATCCCAAAGTGATCATGTCTTTCCACTCTGCTGAACACCTTAAGTAATTTCTCTCCAAATATATGCTTCATTATTTAATTTACACTATTTCATTGTATCCCCACCTACTCCTAAAGGAAAAAAAAATCCATCTAAAACTAACACCCAGACCAAGAAGATGAGGAGATGGGATGATTATTTAAGTTTCAATGAAATGAAAATTTTAAGGTCAAAATGACCATTTGAAATCAAACTTTTAATAAAAAAGTTGCTTTTACTGTATTTCCAATTTAACAAGACAAATTACGAGGGACCACGACCAACATCTGTAAGTATTCAGTATACAAATTAGTGTTGCATTTATCTTTTTCCTAACCCTAAGAACAAAAGAATGCCTTGTAATATAGAAATAAATGCCCTTGACTGTTTAGCTATATATTTTATAATTTAAAAATACTTCACATGACTCGTATCATCAATCAAAGAAATAGAGGAGTTTACAATCTGCTTTGGTGTCCTTGCTGAGATTGTGATGTATCCACTTTTTCATAGCACCCTCTACAAAAGCAGCCCGGAGGAATCCCAGACTAAAGATGTATGTGTTTGTGCATGCACATGTATCGTGGCAACGAATCTGCAATAACCCCAGGAAAAGGAGCCTTCTGGTTTTCCCCCGCACCTGTCGACTGTAGCAACGAAACCGGTTGCTTAAATTTAGTGTTTAAAAAAAAAAAGAAAAATTAAAAGGTACTCATAAAAGTTTCGCTAAATCTTTTGTACAAGACACATAATGGATAAGAATATAACTGATGGAGGTGTCAGCTCCCCAGGGTAGGCAGATCACTATCGCTTCTCTCAGTACTACCTCCCACTCTCTCTCTAAAACCTCTTCAAAGGAGGAACTGGAGAGGAAGGGGTCAAATCCTTAATAGGGACGGGAGGCGGGGGAACGGAGAATCTGCGTCTGACCGAGGGTAAATCCAGGCAAAGTAGTTTGTTTTTACCATATGAGCAGACTCGACACCAATCGCTGTCCCAAGAGATGATAATAGGAGTAACCAGGCTTAGGGCCTAAACCTCGGGCTGCACCCCAACGGAAGAGGCTTATTCTAGGGTCCCAATAACCTTACCGTCGGACTCTGCCCGAACCAGCAGCGACATCCCCTTGAGTTCCTCCACATAAGTGGAGGAGACGTGCCCGGTGCCTCGGTCGTCCCATTGCCGGTCTTCGTTCAGGGTATAAACCTTCACTCGTCGCCGTGTATCCGACATGGTGGCTGCTGTCCCCACTGCTCCGCCCGCCGCCTCCTCGCTCACCTCTTCCGCGACCCTCACTCTTGAGAGACAGTAGTGGC